GACACTTGGACTTAGTAAACTTCATCCCATTGGACTTCGTCCATTCATCTAAATGTTCCAGGTCTCTCTACAGAGCCCTCCTACCTTCCAACAGATCGACACACAGTCCCAGCTTAGTGTCATCTGCAAATTTACTAATGAAGGACTCAAAACCCTCATCCATGTAATCAATAAAAATATTGAACAGGACTGGCCCCAGCACAGACCCCTGAGGCACACCACTGGTGACTGGCTGCCAGCTGGATGCAATATGGATGCTGAAAGCAGGCAGGGAGCACAGAGCCTATGTGAAACTAAGTCAGACAAGGTTCTTACTCTGGCCTGAGAAAGCATAAGGAGGAATCTAAACAGTCCTTGGATAAGGACAACCACTTTTGCAGGTGTTGTTTAGATCCTTGTTTTTCACTTGCAAGAAATAGCCAAGGGGTGGTGTTCCCCAGTTGTCCAATGATGGTGATGTGTTGGTTTAATGACCAATGAGAGTTTTACCTCTTGGACCTTCTTGGACCTATCTATAAATGAAGATCAGGAATAATAAAACTTGCTTTCCTGTACAACCCACGAAAGAGTCCGTGTTGTACTGCTAATATAGTGCTACAATGCAGCACTGTTCACCACCACTCTCTGGGCCCAGCCATCCAGCCAGCTCTTAATCCAGCAAAGTGTGCTCCTGTCCAAGCCATGGGCTGCCAGCTTTTCCAGGAGTTTGCTGTGGGAGACAGTGTCAGAGGCCTTGCTGAAGTCCAAGTAGACAACATCCACAGCCTTCCGAGCATCCACCAGGCAGGTTACCCGGTCAAAAAAGGAGATCAGGTTGGTTCAATATGACCTACTCCTCCTAAACCCATGCTGGCTGGGTCTGATACCCTGGCCATCCTGTAAGTGCTGCATGATGACACTCAGTATAATACAAACTGTTCCATAACCTTACCAGGTACTGAAGTCAGGTTGACTGGCCTATAATTACTAGGATCTTCCTTCCTTTTTGTGAATGGGTGTCACATTGTCCAGCTTCCAGTCATCTGGAACCTCACCAGTGAGCCAGGACTGCTGGTAAATGCTGGAGAGCGGCTTCACAAGCTCATCTGCCAACTCCCTCATCACCCTGGGATGGATCCCATCTAGTCCCATAGATTTATGAACATCCAAGTCACTCAGCAGTTCTCTGACTGCCTCTTCTTGGATAACGGGGGGACCATTCTGCTCCCTGCCACCATCTACCCACCCAGGAGGACAGTTGTCCGAAGGCAAGTTGCTTTCCTAGTAAAGACTGAGGCAAAGAAGGCATTAAGCACTTCTGCCTTCTCCTCTTCTGCAGTTACTAAGTTCCCTCCCTTATCCAATAAAGAACAAAGGTTGGTCTTACCCTTCCTTTTACCATGAATATATTTGTAAAAACAATTTTTATTATCCTTTACAAAAGTTGCCAAATTAAGTTTGAACTGAGTTTTGGCCTTCCTATATTTTTTCCTACATGCCTTAGCAACCCCATTAAATACTTCTTGAGAGACCTGACCCTCCTTCCAAAGGTGATACATCCTCTTTTTATTCCTAAGTTCCTTCAAAACCTCATTACTCATCCAGGCTGGATGTTCTCCTCATCGACTCATCTTTTGGCACACAGGGACAGTCTGTTCCTGTACCCTCAAGATCTCTGTTTTGAAGCATGGCCACCTTTCCTGGACTCCTTTGTTTTTAAGGGCTGCTTCCCAAGGAACTCTCTGAAAAAGCTTCCTAAATAGGCCAAAGTATGCCCTCTGGAAATCTAATGTTAAAGTCTTATTGATGTTCCTCCTGATCTCACCAAATATCAAGAACTCTATAATTTCATGATCACTATGCCCCAAGCGGCCTCCAACCACCACATCTCCATTTGCAAACAACAGATCTAAAATAGCCCCTCTCCTGGTTGGTTCACCCACCAGCTGCAACAAAAACTGTCCTCCATGCACTCTAAAAATTCCCTGGATTGCCTCTTTTCTGCTGTATGAAGTTCTCAGCAGATGTCTGGAAGGTTGAAGTCGCCTACAAGAACAAGATTTAGATTTACATTTTCCTCTTACATTCATCAGATTCTTTCTTTGGGTTACTAATTATTTTACCCACATTTGCCTGTCTTTACCCCATGCCTCTGGTTTTTTACAGAAAGTGAACAAAAAAGTAGAGCTGGAAAAGAATGTAACAATATTAAACATGAAATAACATTAAGATGACAATTTATGGCAGTACTTTGGAATAACTGCCTTGTTCATAAGTACAATTTCCTATGTTGTTTTTTTCCTCGAGGGATAACTGGAAAAATAAAACAGCTGCTCAAGAGCACCATTGTCCACTAAAGCACAATGATCTTGCAGGCAGGAAATAGCATTTCAGGTTTTTCTGTAACACACTGTGTTCTAATTCTGGCCATGACCTTTATGTGCAGCAAATCAGTGTAGCTGTTTTCCCCAGGTCTATCTTGCAAAATTTTATTTTAAACCTGTACTGGGGAAGCCTCACATTGTTTGTTCACAAAGGAGCAAGCTCAACAAGATTTGATCTCATATGGGACTGTCAAGGTGCTGAAGTACAACAGAGAAGTACAGTAACATTCATTTGTGTGGGTATAAATACATACAAGCAAAAGTATTTTAATACTCATTTTATTTGGGTAACAGACTGGGGTCCCAAAGCAGAAAAGGGTCCACAACTTAGTCACCATGACTAGGCAGTTTTGTCTTATCTTAGGGGGCAGATCTTCAGGGAGGATGCCTGTCAGAGGACTGGGCTTCTTCCACAGGCATCCCAGGTTCAAGTGACCCCATGTCCTTAAATACTTCGCTTATTTCCCTGAGGTCCTGAAGGAGATGCCACTTGTCCTTCCCTGGCTTCTTTATTACAAAGACCAGCGAATTCCAAGTGTTAGTTGTTTCTACTGTCTGGCCTTTGGCTAATTGTTCCTCCACAAGCTCTTCGAGCTCCCCGACCTTTTCTTTACTGAGTGGCTGTTGATATATTTTATATATTAGTAAAGGCCTGTCTGCACAAACCAGTCTTTGAAATAAGTCATGATATTAAAGGCTAAAGTCCTTGAAACCTTCCTGCAGAAGAGACAGTAAAGCAAAACAATATCCTTGTGTGTATCCTTGTGAACCTGTGTGTATTAGCCAATAGTAATTTGCTTAGCCTGCGGACCCTGTAGAACCCTATAAAAGGTGTGTTAATAATAGAAATAAATGGCGTTCATGTTTACTTCTGTGAAGGGTGGTGAATAGGTGGCGGTCTCTCAATAAGTGGCCACTTACTTACCCAGACTGGATTATCATCCAGCCACGTGAATTTTTGGGTGGGGTGCTCAACAGTGGCCGCTTCTAAAAATCCTGGGGGGTTTCAGGAATAGTTAGTTTGACACCCCACTGGGACATGGTGTCTCTTCCCCACAGGGGGCACTTGTAGTCAGTGGCAAACAGATAGACTCTAGCTAATCTTCTGTCTGGGCCTTCAATCTGAACAATGCTCTTAGAGACTTCTGCCAATTTTACCCCTCCAATGCCTTGTATTTTGCCTGCCACGGGTTCCAAGTCCCAATGTGAAAGCCATACCCTTCCAGGTATGATATTCACATCTGCCTCTGTGTCAGTCAACCCTTCCACATGGAGATTATCTGATCCACAGGTTAGGTTGCATCCCATAATGGGTTTATCCTCACCAACCACCTCTGCTCAGTAGACTCCTGGTGCTTTATCATCTACTGGGATTTCTGCTGGAACAGGGATCACCTGGGCTATGATTTACCTCTTGATCAAATAGAAGGGTTGCTGAGGGCAATGCGCCAAGAGAGTGAGGTGTGTTAGGTCTCCTTTAATTGTCATGGGAGCCACTTCAATTTCCACAGGTATGTGCTGTGTCTCCAATAACAAAATACCTACTATCCAGTCCTGCCATGTCTTGTGAATTGTCCTGCAGGTCCACTCCAATAACTGTCCAATGAGTAGACCTGTAAAGAAAAGCTTCAGCAGTTACAAGTCTGGATGGCTTTTGAGGATGCCAGACCTTGTTAGACACGTGTTCCCCACAATTATTTTTTCACAGTCCCACACCCTGCATCCCTTTCTCCCCTTTTTCAATTAAAATAGACGCTTTTTTCCCTCTAGAGAATGCTGCATTTATACCCTTGAGCTGGGTGGCGCCACACTCTATTCCCAGTTTTTTTGTTGATTGAATGCTACTTCTTTTTGGTGTTTCTTTTTTATGTTGGCTTTGAGAACAGTCCCTGGTGAAGTGTTCTGGCCTGTTACATTGGAAGCAGATGATACGCTGGCACTACTCTGATGATCCCTGTGGCTTTTCCATTCCTGGTGTTGCTGCTACCACAGCCCTTGGGTTTGTCAGTCCTGGCTTCTTGTCTTGTGCACTATACAGATCTGCTTTCTTGGCACATGACTCAATCATCTCTGCTATAGTGTGTGAAGGATTAATGGGAAGTCCCAGGATCACTCTGCGGAGGGCCTCGTTGGCATTTCTTTGAGCCATCTCCTTAATCAGTTCTGCCTGCACTACTGGTCCTTCCACCTGCCTTTGTATTTGCACTTGAAGCCCGCTGACAAACTGCAAAAAACTTTCTGATTGAAGCTGTTGAATATTAACATAGCTGACTTGGGTTTCAACTGTTGGTAATTGGTTAAAAATCTTTCCTGATACACTACAGATCTTATCTAAAATAGATTTTGTTAATACCCGCACTTAGTCTTCAGCCCTCACTCCCTCCCCACATAGTTGTTCCAAAGTGATTTCATTATTCTGTGCATCTTTTGCATCCTGGGTGCTTTGCTTAAGCTGCACTAGGAGATCTTTTAAGGACTTTTTCCATGAGGTTTCCCAAAGATCAAACTCGGAGGGAGTTAAGAGACACCGGAAGAGGTCTTTGAGATCAGCAGGAACTAACTCATCAGTGGCAGGAGTAATTATGAGGTGGGAGTAACTATGACTCTCTTAAGGGGTATTGTACATTGCTAACCGGGCTCAGCTGCAGAAGTCACACCTCCACATGGCCCCGCCAGATAGCCGTAACTGGTGAACTAAGCTGACTTCTGCCCCGGTCAAGAGAGTGAGTTTTAGTCATCGTTACTCCTCTTGCATGCACACATGATGTACAGAGTAACGTTTGCGGTAATGTTGCTCTCATCTGTGGGCAGAGAGTAAACATTTTCACAGCCTGAGTCGTGGTCATTCCATTGGCCCCAGGCCCTCCCTCCCAACGGTGGCGGTGACGCTGGGTAGGGTAGTCCCATCCAGAATTTAGGGAGGCTGTATCACGCCAGGGCCAGTCTGTGGGCAAGGGGCTGATCAAGCAGCACTTGCTTTAACAGGCAACTGTGCAGCAGGGCACAACCCCCTATCCTAGTACCCCATCCGCTTGATCTAACGCGAAGGTTGGTAGGATGTGAGTCAAGCTGGGTCAATCCTATGGCTGCCACACCCCAGGCTCCACACTGGTCGCAATCCAGTGGTGTCAAGCAGTGGAGTCATGGGTCGATACTGGGCCTCCGGTGGACATTCCGTTACCGCAGGTGGGAAGGTGGGCGCCATCATTGCTGTACAGGGCCACATCACTGGTGGTGTGTAGTTGTCCCGGGCTTGAGACGAGCCAAGCTCTCCCTCTTATGGGTCTCTTGCCATCCCACGCCGCATGGCGTGCATCTATTGCGTCCATGTAACATCTGCTGTTTGGCGCAATTACTGATTTGTGACTCGGTGGACAGGCCACCGTTACTTAACCCGGAAAAGGTGCACACAGTTCACGTGCGTGTTCAATAAATAGCCCTTACCATTCCTTTCAATACTTCACTATCTACCGAATTCTCTTTGGGCTTTGCAAATTTCTTTTATATTTTGGTAAGAGAAGGGCTGGTAATGTACAGTAATTCTTTTTCTACCAGTATATATTACAGGAGCGGCTGAAAGCATATCTTCATCCTCCCCAGGGCCTGTATGTCCTGGGTTTCCCCACCCATCCCCACCCCCA